CGAGTCGGAGTAAACATAATATTCGTCAATAGTTCATCCATCCCGGGAATATAGACCTTGACGATCTTTGTCCGTTTTCGATTCCGGTATATAAATGACGTGAAATGACAAAGATAGACAATGTTTCATTTATTTACCATAGATACGTATGTAAGGTTATAACGTAAGCATTAAAATTATAACCAAAATATTAACTTACTGAAATTATAGGTTAGGTAAGCACCGAACATCGAGTCGGACGATGGGAATGTAGTCGAAATCAAACTTTACTTTAAAAGTTAAAGTTACAGTCTATATACGTCCCACTGCTGGGCATAGACCTCTTCTCATTTATGAGAGAGTTTGGAGCAAGTGTTCGCCGCGCTGCCCCATTGCGTATTGGCGAATTTCACATATCTTTGAAATATATTTATTTTCTTATTTCTTAGACATGCAGGTTTCCTTACGATATTTTCCTTCACCGCCAAGCACGTGGTAAATCAGCACTTAAAATTGCAATTAGCAATCATAACAAAGCTACCACGGCTCAGATGGCCAGCAGTCTCGAGGGAAGCAGTTCAACCAAGCTGGTCAATAAATATTGGTCCTCAGCACGTCCATGAGCGGGGATGCTTAAGGAGAACTTTGTAGTAGAAATAATATTCTCCCATACATCGGTTGATAGCCGAACTGCAAATGTAATTTTGTATTCGCAAAATAATCTAATCTATTATAAAACTAAAAATTTACGGTTATTAGATTATTAGTGCAGTCTTGACTCTTGCCTTAAGACTGCTTCTTCTCAAATTACATGATTCTAAGTTAGTGGCAAGTACCCTATAGGTTTTGATGAATAAGTTTGCCAGTATCATAAAATATGTGACATAAGTGGCCGTATCTTTTAACTACGTTGGCTTAGAAGCCTGAACATTTTTCACCTTAGTATTTACTTTTTATTATTTACAACCTCAGTATTTACTTGTATTACAAACAGTCTTGACGGACAGCAAGTGATCCTACAGGGGGTCTATTTTTTCTCCAGAGTTAGGGAACCCTCAGAATAATAAGCAATTAACCCTTTGTCCCCCAAAATAGAAACAATTTAAAATATAGTAGGTAAGAGCAAAATTTGAAAACTCAAACTTTGGTTAGTTTTTGGAAAAAAATGTAACCATTTTATTGGCGTTTGTCATACGGCGTACTTTTAAATAAAGATCTTTTTACAATACTGATGTTGTATAATTTTGTTATCGTATTATTATCTGTGACCGTGTGTGTCCAGTCGTTTTTGATTGTGTAAAGCGCTCAAATAGAAGATGATAAAAAATAAATAGGAAAGCAAACAGAGGCGCGTCTTTTTGAGCATTGTATTGACCGATAGCGACAGGCCAAAGCGCCTTTTGTAGACATAACTGGACAATATGTTTTCGGTGTCAAAAATATGTTAAAATATTTTTAGTTATTGGTAAGTAAGCAAGTAATAAGTATGTAGTAGTATTAAGCCGTGATAGCTAGGCCATATCCTTTTTAAACCGAAGTGACAAATTTATACGTGGCAGAGCCACGCTGCCACACTATGGTTGCAACAGGAATGGGAAGGCCCAACCGGGACCTAAGACTAAGAAACTCTCACAGTATACTGGCGTAAAATATTAGCTTAATATAGCTGTGTTTCGTATATTTTATTCGTTGCTGCAAACGAGGCGTTCCATCTTAGTCCTCAGGGGCGATGACGAATTTGCGTTTTGATTCTTAATCGAGGATAAATTTATATCCCTATACGTTATAGCTGTCACTTACTGTGAACTGTGTATTCGTTTGTTACTCTTACACTAAAACAAACTAATTTTAGTCCACCTGATGGTAAGGCGTTACTGCGGCTAATGGGTACTTGAAATCAACTTCAAACAAAGAAGTCTTTATATGCGTCGTCACTTCTGAGGACTAAGGTGGAATGCTCCACAGTCTTTGGTTATACTTGCTCTATACTCTTAAGACTGGACACAATAGTATAAGCATTGTTTGTCTTCTTTAGCAATAACACAGTGGTATGTGGGCAACCCGGGGTCGATCAATTCCTGCTAACTCCAATTTGTTGAAATTGTTAATTGCAATTTTAAGTGTTATTTTACCATATGTGCGGCGGTAAAGCAAAACATCTTGAGGAAACTTGCATATATAAGGGATAAAATACTTTGGAGATATGAGATGTCTGCCATGACACCCAGTCTTCGAAGTAATGAAGGCATCCACGACTTTTTCTGTCCACAGGGAGGTGCCACAAATATTTGACAGATTTTATAGCGGGAGAAGATAATTTGTTAGAAAAGTGCAGAGTTTAATGTTACTTTCTGAAATGCATCTGCATTTTGATTCTTAATCAAGGTTAGATATGATCGGGCCACAGTATCCACTTACCATCAGGTTGACTGTGTACTCATTTCTTGCACCCTTATTGTATAAAACACCCCACGGCTTTTGAGTTCACGGATCGCACCCCACAATTATGCTATCGTCGATTTTACGTTTTTTCGAGGAGTTTCTTTACCGGGTGCGCTAAATGAGTTAAGTAAACGTAAAGTTACAGACTATATATGTCCCACTGCTGGTTACAGCCTCCTCTCATTTCTGAGAGAGTTGCAGAGCTCGTAGTCTGCCGAGCTGCTCCAGTGCCTGTTAGTGGATGTTTTCGAATTATTTTATTTCTCACACGTGCAAGCTATATCGCGATGATTTCTATCACCGATAGCAAATTGTAAATAAATACTTAAAATTGAAATTAACAATTTCATTGATGCAGGCAGGAATCGAATTCGGGTTGCTCGCTTAGTTTGGGGTAAGCACTTAGCTATTGAGCTGCCACGACTTTTCTCTTCTTTTACTAATATTTATGAATTAGGCATTCTTCCCTTTTGGGCCAGTGTCACCTTCTATCTTATTTCTGACACTACATAGCAGTACAACTAATGCTGTGTGTCGGTCTGAACTGTATAAAAAGTCAGTATAGTTACAGGTTGTGAGGCATTTCATCTTGATCTTCGAATGTCATAACGCATTAGTATTATTGGTTTATAGTTGTTTGCAGATAGTGCCCAACAATGGTCAGTTAACAATGAGTTGTAAATTATAAAAAAAATATAGTTTTTTGAAATTGCATGAAAGATTGGCCATTAATATATAATAATTTTAAAGATAAAGAAACTTAAAGCTTAAAATATTAAATATATATTTTAGGTGGATATAAAAAGTTGCAAACTATTAATTTATATTAAAAAAAAAGAAAGATTTGTTAAACGACACACTTTCGTAAGCTATTTGAGTATAATTATGTTTGACGTGGTAGAGTCACGCTGTAGCTACCTACTATAATATTATAGTTTTAGCACGAATGGGTCGACCGGGAAAGGACTGCGCTCTCACAGAATACCGGCGTAAAATAACAGCCTGGTAACGAAGCATTTAAGAACTTAGACTATTTTTATATCGTAACAAATAATATACAAAAATCGTAACGAAGTATGTTCTATTTGTCTCAATAAGTCATATGAATTGATACGACATATACAAATACAAACAACATTAAGCAACAATATTTTAAAACGAATAAAACTTTCAGTCTCCAGCAATTAGGACCGCAGCTTTGGAAAAGCAATCCGAATGTAGAAACTTTTACCGCCACTTCACTAACAAACAAATTCGCAACCCCTCTCCCGGCGCCGCGTAGTCCTTACAAAGAGCTAGACCGAACGCATAAGCTGCTTTTTATAGCCCTGCCGGTACCCGATAACGTGGAGCGCCCCTAACAATGCAAGATATTACTATGAATAATAGATAATTGTCCCACTTCAGTGGCGGCAAGCTTTCGCTTTAGATTAAATTGATTTGTTAAGTTGCGATTTGCTTGCGGGTGATCTGATTAACGCGGGACAGAGATGGGAGTTCGTATGAGAAATTCAAAGATATTTTATTAACGCGTTCTTGTATTATAAAGAAGTTAATACAATAAATGAAAAAGTACGTAATTGAAAGAACATACCTACGCGCTTTGCGCTTAAGGTATGCAAAAACATTTTCCATTCTTGATTGAGAAATTTTTTCCGCATTTTTTCACGATCATGGATCATAGAGATAGAGGTTTTCGTTTGTGAAATAGCCAAGTTTTCATCATCATGTGTATGTAAAATACTTTAAAAAAAATTGAGCGCTTAAAGCATGCACATATTTTGGATTTAACGAGAGTTTTTAAATTTACGAGAATATTATAACTATGTATATATAGCTAATTTTATTTTCAAATCTACGATTTGACTGTGATCATCAATATTACAAAGTATTCAAAGCGTCGAAAAAATAATTTATTCAACAAAATCACTAAAATAGTTTTATTTTAGTGGAACAATGACAGATAGTTTTAACCCTCAAACCCTACTCGGGATGCTGGAGCACCCCACAAGGTTTATTTTTCTTATTTATTTCGTTTTTCGATTTATAATGCACGTGTTTGATTTTCCGCGTATTTTACTTTGAGGTTACGCGCCACGGATTGGCCAGTGTCGCGGCGACAGCCGGCTGTTGTAGACGTGTGCATGTGTACACGTGTGTCGTTGTTGGGTGCTGTAGCACCCCAGTGAAACAACGTAAGTTTTTAAAAATTTTAGAAAACTAATTTTTTAAGCTTACTTCTATAGTTGAACTATTTTATTATAAACGTATAGATTGCGGTTCAAACATTTGATTATAGAGGTTATGTTGTAAAATAAAACATAACCTATACAATTCAATATTACTTAATTTTTCCTTTAAAATTCAAAAATATGTATTGCACAACAGTATATTTTTCAATGTTTTTAGCGTTTTTACGTTATGGTTGGCAGGTGGCTGTAAAAGGTGGACTGAATGATGAATAAATACGTTTCATAGTAAATCAGGAATCAAGTGACGAGGAAGACCTAGTTTTTCGTGGTTCAGTTACAGAAGATTCTGATGATGAACCTGATGGTGTTTTAGAAGATTTTCGTCATATGAATGTGATTGGTCAAACAAATAATGAAGAGGATGCCTTTAGTAGCGATGATGATATGACTTTGCAAGAGATATCTCAGGATTTAAGAAGACAAGGAAAACTAAACTTGAATGTTTCAAGAGTTCTTTACGTGAAAGGAAAAAATAATAGACACAAGTGGAGTGGAGAAAAGCCAGTGAGGCGTAGAACTCAGCACCGCAACATTATTATGCATTTATCTGGAAACAAAGGTGAAGCGAAAAGTATTACAAAGCCAATAGAAGGTTGGGCTCTCTTTCTAAATGACGAAATACTAAATAAATTTGCATATCATACAAATAAAGAAATTGAAAAACAACGTAAGAAATATAAAGGCTTTCAGGAGGAAGAAGATGGTGAAGAGAATATCGCCTCGTCCAGTTTACCATCATTTGTAAAACCAGTATCATTGGTAGAGTTAAAGGCTTTAATTGGGCTTTATTATCTCGCAGGAGTATTTAAAATGAACGATATAAATACCAAAGATTTGTTTGACAAATTTACTGGCGTGATGCTTTTCAGAGCAACAATGTCCCGTTGTCGATTCGAGTTCTTGACAAATTGCCTTAGATTTTATGACAGAGACACACGCGAAGAAAGTCGAGCTACCGATCGCTCAGCTCCGATTCGTGAAGTGTTTGATCATATTGTAAAAAAGTGTGACAAATACTACACACCAACTAATTATTGTACTATCGATGAATAATTATTGGCTTTTAGAGGGCGCTGTGTCTTTAAAATGTACATACCCTCAAAGCCCGATAAGTACGGGATAAACATTTTGATGAACTGCGATTCTAAGACAGCTTGCATATTGAATGCCATTGTTTAGCGTAGGTCAAACACCCTCCCCTCAAAATATGTCAGTGCCTGAGTACTACATTACGGAACTCTCCAAGCCATTGTATGGATCCCGTCGCAACATGAGCATGGACAACTGGTTCACCAGCATAACATTAGCCAAAAATCTGATTGGGAAAAAGGAATTGACCATGGTCGGAACGACGCGAAAAAACAAAGGAGAAATACCAGAGTCCTTTTTGAAGTTAACAAACAGAGAAAAAATACCACTATGTTTGCGTATGATGGACCTCTAACTCTGTTGACCTATTGCTCACCGAAATCGACAAAGAAAAAAGTCATCATCATGTTGTCAACTCTCTACGATTCCCCAGATAACAACAATGAAGTTGAGCTTCCAGAAATTATTAATTTTCATAATAAAACAAAGGGAGGAGTGGATGTGTTCGATGCAATGGCTAAATAATACTCTGTCGAAAGAAGAACCAAACGTTGGCCAATGTGCATTTTCTATGGGTTATTGAATGGAGTTGGTACTAACTCTTGGGTTCTCTATAAATGCTCAAAAGCAAATAATAAGCCTGACATAAAGCTTCGTCGGAGTTTTCTAAAAGAATTGGGAATGAATCTTAAAGATGAACATTTGAAAATGCGCCTACAAACACCAACTTTGAAGAGGGATATAAAGGAGAGTATCGCGGCGATTCTCAAGCAACCCATACCTGTCGATTCTTCTGGGTGTGAACGTCACACACAGGGGCGTTGTGGTTTCTGTCCGAGAAACAGGGATCGGAAGAGCAAGACCAGGTGCACCAAGTGCAAAATTCCAATTTGCTTGGAACACCAAGTTAAAGTATGCCAAAAGTGCTCAAATTGATGTGTAATGTAAAATTTTAAGGCTGATTCGTGATCTCATAATGTCAATTAATATAAATAAAAGTATAATTTTCTATAACTGTTTTTATTTCTATACTTTACTAACTATTTTATTTTGGGGTGCCTTGTCACCCCTGTGTAGGAATACTGTATACGCCAGTGTAGGGTTTGAGGGTTAATAATATTGCATCCAAAGGCGGCTTAAGAAAATTAACTTTATGATGATCAAGAAGAAAATGTTGAACTAATCCTTATTTTAGGTACACGTGGTATAGTGTAAAAGAGCCATTAGTTTTCTTTATCAATTTTTAAATTTTTAAAGAAGGCGGGACAAACAAGCTGAGGGTAAATGACTACCGCCGTCTATGAACACCTGCAACACCAGGGAAAATCAGGTGCGTTGCTCGTATTTTAAAAGGAGTAAGCTCTTTTCTTGAGGGTACTTAAGTCGTATACACTTTTTTATTGACAATCGCAAGATTTCCTGGTCAGCGCAGTTAGCTAATAAATAGTTTTATGTAGATTATAGCTAATAATTTCGCTAATATCGCGATTATTTTAACAAAATCTCAAATGAAATGAATATAATTTTAGGAATTTTATGGCGTAAAACTTATATTAGCGATGTTATATACTAATTACCGGTGCTTTGTGGCATTGATTGTTTGAATCGTGATGTCGACCCGAGTGACCTTCAGCTATTAAATAATAATTTTGTTTCAATCTACGCAAAATGAACTCACGGTATCTTGAAGAATTATGTTGAATACCAAAACCAGGGACGGAGAGCAAGGTTAAAATAACACTTCGTACAACAACCCGCCTGCCTCTCTGCGATTATTGCACATTATTTCTATAACAATGGAGGCATATTCAGCAACAGGTTCTCAAGAGCTAATAAAGAATGAAAAGAAGATGTTTTTTTAATTAAAAGAAATATTTCAGAAATAGGCAAGAAAAAGGAGTTCTAGGTTGGTAGCAAATTTTTAGCCAACTTTAAAATAAGGTACTCATTTCGACTGTACCTTTTGTTCTATGACATTTACGCGATATCTTCGTCGATTGTAAAATAATTCCGATGATTTATACTTTATTAAATAGGTTGTACTTCAGGGGTCCCGTATAAACTTGTGAAAACCATTTCTTTTCTAAAAGTGACAAAATAAGGGATGAAGTTTATAATGTAACTAATTCTAGTTGTGCGGGTATCGTCTACGACAATCTAGTTGTTAGCTTGAGGCTGTGATATTCTCCAGTCCATTCAAAAGGGTCAATTTTTTTAATAGAACGTTAAAGATGGTTTCAGAGCGGATTTCATTTTTTATTAATTTTTTTTACATTTATTCTCGCTAAAGATTTAAAATGCAGAAGCGTTGTCACCCTTGAATTTCACGGTGGCATGCCTCGCTACCAGGAATAGTGACGCTGGTTTCTGTAAGCACCGATTGAACTTTGTTACAAAATACAAATATTCTTGCAGTGTTTTATTAAAAGTATTAAAGTGGCAAACGAGCAAAAACTTCCTTCTGTTGGTACTAATAGTAATGTTGTGTCACAACATTACTATTTAAAATTGTATTTGTTGCTTTTCGAAGTATTCTCCGCGAAATTTGACACATTTTCCATACGATGGAACCAATCATTGAAGCAACCATTCTATTCGGAAGTTGGGGTCTCCAAAATGGCCGTTTTGTAGGCGTCCACAGCTTCTTCAGGTGATGAAAATCTCTGTCCACGCAATTTATTCTTTATTTCAGGGAAAGTATAGAAATCATTAGGGCTTAGGTCGGGGCTGTACAGCGGTTTGTCTAATAATCCTATGTTTTCTTGCTCTAAAAACTCTTTTGTTCTGTGTGCGGTGTGAGAACTCGCATTGTCGTGATGGAGGATGATGCGGCGGTTTCAGTTCTCTTTATGGAGTTCAGAAACGACCTGTGGCAAACAAATGCTAGCATACCATTCTGTATTAATCGTTCTTTGTCCCTCAAGAGGAATAGTCGTAACATGGCCGGTTTTGGAGAGAAACGTAGCCACCATTTTTTTTGCAACACTCCGTGAACAAACACTTTTTGTTGGCTTTAACTCAATTTCGAACACCTAAACTCGTAACTGGTTTTTTGTTTCGGGTTCGTACACATATATTCAGGATTCGTCACCTAATACGATGTTGTATACAGCATTTGAGGATCCTGCGAGGAATCTTTTGAGAGTTCTGACGCACCAAGTAACGCAAGCCGCTTTTTACTCTTCACAGAGCGAATGCGGTATCCATAGGGAAAACAACTTTCTTACACCTAATTTTTCATGCAAGATTATTTGTATTTAACTCATGCCAATGTCTAAAGTTGCCTGAATTTCGCGGTATGTCACATGTCGATCTTCCTCAATCAGCTTACGCACAGCATCAACGTTTTCTTGGGTGACTGCAGTTTTTGGACGACCTTGACGGGGATCATCACTGAGCTGGAGTCAAACAAACAAGGCCAACGCTTAAAAAAAAAAAGACCCAAACAAACACCCTAACCCCCTTTTTTAAAAAAAAAAATCTTTTTTTAAATAAATAAATGGTATTCGATTTTTAAAACCAAGGAGTTTTCAATTAAAAAGGTTTTAATATGACAGGAACAGTGGAAATATTCCATTCCCGATACTTTTAGTGCAGCCTAGTAGGTGGATGATGTAGCCCATAGACAACTTAGTCTATCCTCGATAAATTGTCAAAATGTCGCGTTGATCCCCCTGACAACTATAACTGATTGCCTTGCTACCCGTTTTAAGGGCCTCTGGATCTCTACATTCACCATATGAAACACATCAGCATTAAGCTGATATTAACGCTGATATTTCATAAGAGCGAGGTCCATCGCTGGTCGAGACGACCCATAATATAGCTGCAGTGTGGCTCTACCAAGTTAACGTAACGACGACAACGTGGGCGTTACGTAGACATCACATGTCTTTGAAGTGTTTTTTATTTCTCAAACCTGAATGAATAAATGAATATATAATATACTTATTGTATACCATAATATGAAAAGGTACAGAAAACATTGAAAAGTAAGTGAAGGACACAATTTGGAGGCATTATCGTTATATAGCAATTTGTTTATTAACATGAAAGTATTCGACAATATTTTCTATTACCACTGAGTTCATTGTTACAAAAGCTTAAAAAAGCACAAGATTGCCGTTGATTAAGTGATGCTGTCACCAGAAATCGAGTTAGAGCTGCTGCGTAATTATTAATTTACAAGTGTGGCCCAGCCCGATTTTACAAAAGCTCTCCTTCTCTTATTTTGAAAGATTTACGGTTACCGATATTAGGTTTACCAACAGTATAATGATAGATAGATTTATCAATGCCTTGTTATTACTTTAGGTGTTGTTGGTTTATTTACAATACAGTTTATATAAATGTTTAGCTACACTTTTATATAGAAAGTTAGTAAATATATTTAAAATTTCTTCAGCATTTGTCTTTTTTTATTTAGTTAGCACAATAATTAATTAAGCACTTATACATAATCACTATCACCTTAATTTTTACATTTGTATTTACTTTTATTTAATAACTATTTTAAGAAATATTGCATATTATTATATTTAATAAGATAATTAAGGTTCTTTCTTACTACCCTCCTGTAAGTAAGCAATTTTGGTCCCTCTCAAAGGCTGTCGAATCCGAATTTTGTCCAATCTAAAAACATTCAAGAAACGTTGGTGGAGACCACCACAGACATCAATTATCCTGTAAGCTCCGGAGGTCGCGACATGTTATACTGCGCGGTTTAATATTTAGTTATTAACGCCTGAATAACTGAGGGAAGAGTTAAATATTATCTCTGGCCAATTACCAAAGGAATTAGCTCTGTCTATAAACAACATCCAAAACAACTTATGAAGACTATCATTTATTGGAAGTAAAAGCAAGGATGACAAGCAAATACTTTATTTTCGAGAACAAAATCCCGTTGGTAAAGAGGAAAACCTACAAGATTTACAGGCTTATCTCTATACCTTAGCAAGTACAAAAACAGATGGACCAGTAAGTGTAAAGCATTGTGCGCCTGAGTTGTCTATTATTTTGACGTGCCTGTACCGCATCTCTCTTAAAACTAGAATGGTACCAAAATCTTGGAAGCTTGCCAATGTGCAACCAGTACCCAAGGAGGGTCATCGCGCCGATCCCTATAATTATCGACCAGTCGCCATCAACTCCATACTCTGCAAAGTTTTAAAAGAGTATTGAATAGTGTGCTGCTGATATACTTTGAAAGAAATGGCCTCCTCAGTGACCATTAATATGGCTTCCGCCGGGGACGGAACCGCACATCCGCACTTCTCGGGCGAGACCATTGAGAAGAACGGCGAAGCTGCAAAAGTTTCACTCGATATCTCGAAGGCTTTTGACAGGGTTTGGTATACAAGCCTAAGCTTCCTGCTTACGGTATCCCGCCGAATTTTGCAACTGGATATCTGACTTTCTGAGTGAACGGTCTATCAGTGCAGTCATAGATGGCTGCTCTTTTGACCTATTGCGTAGTAATTCCAGAGTTCTCCAGGGGTCTGTTCTCTATGAGACTCTTTTCCTGCTGTACATCAATGATCTGCTTCTACCAGGTATTGTTGGTTATGAAGATGACAGCGCAGTCACAGATAGATATATGTTCAAAAGTGCAGTGCAGTGCAAAAGACGAAAGAGCAGTAATACGTTCACTCAAAGAGGCCATGGTGGAGAGGATTATCGCGACCTTAAGTCTTGTCTCCCAAGTTTTCATTTGAAGAAGAGTTCATTTGATGTAACTCCTACTTTCCGAAGCACATTTGTGGAGTTCGCTGATCATCTTGAGTTTCTCGGCATACAGTTGAGTGCTGACCTCAATTTTGGCGCTAATATCGAGTCGAAAGCACAAACAGAAGCCAAAAATCTGGCAATTTTAAACAAAGTGAAGCAATACTTCACGACTGGATAGCTTCTAACTTTATATAAAGCTTAAGTTATAACATGCATAGAGTATTGCAGTCACCGTTGGGATGGCTCAGCTAAATATCTAATTGCCGCACTCGAATCAGTACAACACAGAGCCAAGAGGCTTTTCTCGAAAAAAGCTGCCGGAAATTAAGCTTTACAGTTTAGATCACCATCGCCAAGATGCTCGTATGTCCGTCTTCTACAGATTGTAGGTGCGTAGTGTACCTATGGGCTTCATAAGCTCATACCGCCATCTGCATTCTCCAAGCGGAGTACCAGATGCGTTGCAGGTTACCATCCACACTTGGTTGATATTGCGAATACTCGCATTAAGCGCTATAAGTTATCTTACATAATGCGCACAGCCAAGGAGTGAAATGCCCTGCTAGCGTCTGTTTTTCCGAGTGCCTATAACCTGAATCTCTTCAAGGTGCCTGTTAACAGGCTTCTCCTGGGCAAACTCGATCTATCATAGACATCATCTTTGTCCTCGGGCCAGATGGAGGTCTAGAGTGAGCCCATTTTTAATAATAATAATAGTTTCAAATTGAAACCACGACTCAGAAACTAAGCGCGTTGGGACTAAACAACTATATAGTCTGTAACTTTTTTTTAATTAAAAATATTACATACGTAACTTATTGAATTGAACCTATCTCGAATACGCACCGCAACCGGGCTGACGAGTAAGTAACGCCAATAGTCATTTAGTCAGCTCTTTCTATCCTTTATTTCGATATTATTCCATAGACTCTGCATGCATTGTTACTTTAAGTAATCATCTATTAAAGACTATGCTTCTTACATGAATTATCCATGTAATATATATATATATAAAAAATATATATATATATATATATATATATATATATATATTATATTTCCCTATATGTTCCTGTGCCCACCCATTCTATGGGTTTATTGGTAGACAATGCTTAAAGGCATCAGTGCGCCCATTGTATTCTGAACCGATTTTAGTGATACTTTTAAATTAAATAGGTTATACTTTAAGGGGGAATTCCCATATAAATTGGAGGAAAAAATTTCATTAATTAGCGTGAAAAATAGAGGATGAGGATTTTAATGGAACTACATATATAACGAATATGATTAGTTCAAGGTGTATAAAATTCTAGTATACACCTTGAACTAATCATATTCTTTAGAGCACTTAAAGTAAAAATTACATTAACTTTAAAAATAATTGACTTTAAAACAAAAGAGTAAAAAATAATTTCCAAAAAATACGGTCTTTAATTTTTCCATACGCTATGTCTTATCACCGACTTTATAATCGAAAGAAACTATTATTGTACCTATATAGAAATCGTTTGAGTCGAATTTTATGTTTTGCAATATTTTATTACTTTATTCGCACGAAAATAGTAGTTCTTAAAGTGAAAAGCAGCATCTATAACTTTTTATATATATTTTTTTTAATAATTCGTAGCGCTGTCAGCCACTACACGGCAACAATGTAAGAAAGTTCTATTCAGTTAAATATATGGTTCTAGAGCTAATTGACATACTTGCGGATTTTGCGGATTTAATCGCGTCTAATTTTAACTTTGTTAATTCCCAACCTTTTGAGAACCTCCCAGCGCCCATGCGTACGGGGCTATTCGCCTAAATATAAGAAATCCTCGAAATGTTTTCATTTCGCTGTCATGACGGTTTGCTTAAGCATATTTTTTATTTCCGACTATGCTGTGAGAATATACATGTATAGAGCTTAGGTTACTCGCAGACATAATAAAATATCAGAACCTGACAAACACCAAAATAAACACCGCGGCTCGGCTTACTTAATTAATACTTATTTTTGGGACAAGATAAGAATTTAACATAAAAACAAATCAAACTTTGCGTTAATAAATGCGAGATAAACGTCTCAAACATCCGGACTTTATTTGCTTGTTTGCATTTTAATCACACCACTGTTCATTTATGCCCGCCCGGTGAAGTGGTATGATTAACAAATAACAGTTTTTGTCTCATAGCGATAAGTAACAGGTGTGCTCGCTTGTTTTGTTGGCGTCTGTTTGGCCTGTGATATAGAATTAAAAAGATAATAAAAGAGGTGTATCACAGATTAAATACCTTGTTTTTGAGTTGTGTTTGTTTTAGTCTGTGGCAGATGCGGCTTTGAGTTGGATTGGGTGTTTGTTTTAAAATGTAAATATGATTGTTGTTTGATTTTGTTATCATGAAGTGTTTTTTTAATGTTAATATCAGTTTTTGTGTAGAGTTCTTTTAAGCTCGAATAGTTTATTAAACTTTTAGTTCTGCTATTTACTTTTTTAACACACGATATTTTATAAGTGGCTTTTACACCGCAATTTAGGACACATTTTTTGTTTAAGGAGATGGGCAATAGTGTCTTTTTAATCATCATCACCATTTCAGCCTTTTACAGGTACTCTGCTGAATATATGCATTCCCCAAAGAATGGCCACAAAGCACGGTCCGCAGCCACCTGCATCCTCTTATCATCCTAATCACAATTACAACAACAAATAAGAAACTGTCAAATATATACTCCTTAAGAGATAATCTATGTCCAGCAGTGGGCTTTAATTGGTTTTTTTGAATGAGTTTTGTGAAATCATAATGTGTTGCTTATTAATGCCTTACTATAAGGCAAGTTTGCTTTTTCTCGACTGTGAAGGAAAACATCATGAGAAAACTTTATGGATTTTAGTTTATTTTTTTTAATTCTCGACGTTTTGACACCTTAAAAACACAAGTCAAGGATCCCTTCGAGATTTAATGTGACGACCTGACGACTTGATTATACACTCGGCGTCACAAAAATCGCATCTCTTTAAATTTCTACTTAAAACTAATTTTAAATCCGTTTAATCAATGGTAAGTCTATGAGTATGTTATATCATTGGAAAGGTAATTAAATTTAATTATTATAAAAAATATTTATGGTTATCATGTGTTTTTACCGGGAAATAAAAAAAGTTAATTTCAACAAGAAGAAAATTATGATTTATTGCAACTTACAAAATTAAATAAAAACGTATTCTAAACGTCCTAAAACCAAGCGTTACCACCCCTTGCCTTAATTACTGCTCCCATACGCTCTTTCATTGATCTAATCAACGTAACAATTCGTTCTTTAGGAATGATGTCCCATTCCTCAATGACAACCTCCTCGAGCTCTTGCAGTGTTGTTGGGGTAGGATCACAAGTCCGCACTCGCTGCTTTACATCAATCCAGAGGTGCTCTATCGAGTTTATTTCTGGACTTTGCACCGGCCACCGCATACCAGAGATCCTGTCCTCTTAAAGGTAATCATGTACAATTAATACAGTGTGGCAGCGGGCGTCGTCATGCATTAATGTAAATTCATCGCCAACAAAATCCGCGTATGGGTATCAATATATTCGCGTGCAAATTGCAATCGATCTCTGCGATGCTGTGTGGTCAATTTTGGACCAGGTACAGGCCTATGCGATGCAATTTTTTTTCTCTTAACCGTCTTTTAATCGTAGAGACGCTTACAGATGTTCTGCGAGCTGATGTCGATGACGATACAATGAATCGATCGTTTCTTTGAGAAGTGCAGCGCTATCGTCCAGATCCACGCCTCTGAATATAGTCACCAGTGTCCTACCGTTGGAATACTCGTCGAACGGAAAAACGGGATAGATTTAGTTGCCGAGCGACATCACACTGTCGCATCCCTGACTACAGTAGCGCAATCACTTGAGCGGCTTCACCAGCAGTGGTATCCATATTGTAGGGTTTTTAGCTTACTTAAGAAGTTTACGTGTGTCCTCTTGAACATTTTGAAAACGAAAGGCTCACATTTTACCTGTACCGGCCCTTTAATAGCACATAACGCACCGCAACTATTGATCGTTATGAACCGTTTTTTTAAACAGTTTTTTTCAACGTCTCGTACTCAGGTAATTTCTTAAGTTTATGAAACAAAAAGGTTGTTAATTTAAAGGCTAATAAACGCACTTTCAGTAGATACCAATATTGATCTTTATGAACCGTTTTTTAAAACAGTTTTTTCAACGTCTCGTACTCAGGAAATTTCTTAAGTTTATGAAACAAAAAGCTTGTTAATTTAAAGGTTAATAAACGCACTTTCAGTAGATACCAATATTGACTTGATTAAATGTAAACACTGAGAGCCAGATACTCAAGTAATATTTTTTCGGGGAGGTGCGATTTTCGTGCTAAAACTCTACCAGTTGCAGCACGGCTCTACCACGTATTTGTTGTCGTTGCCATGGTTGATAAGTGGGTTGGTAACCATGGTTTTTATGTGCTCGTTTGTTTCCCTCTGTCGCCTCTTACGAGACCCACTGGGTGATGTGGGGTAGTTGATATTCCTTGACCGTCACTAAACGGTTAATAAAATGAAAACCGAAGGTATGAGCATACTACTGCAAGTATTCAAAATGCTGTAAGCTTTCTTTGCGTATAACATTAATTAATAATAACCTAGGCTGTAACGGGCTAAAATTACACAAACAGGACGTCTCACGCATCTGTCTTACCCTGATCATAGGTGTTGCAAAGCACTGCAAATATTGGGAATTCAAAATAGTTAAAATTTACGGCGTTAAAATCTATAGTAACTCTATAAGTAAGTAAAGCTTCACACATAATTAGTAAGTATACTCGCGTAATTATACGATTGTAAATTATTAACTGTGAATAATAACACCTGTAAATAGTAATTTATTAATGTTAAAAGTTTAAATGATTAAGATGCATCCCTATTATAATTTTAATTACATTTGCCAACTTATTTTTATAATCTGTTTTTGAAATCCTTTTTAGTTGAAAGATTTGTTAAACTTTTTTTGAAAACCTTTTTAAAAAGAATATTATTATAGATTCAAATAAATAAGGAAAAGCTGCAAAGTTTAGATAGGTCAAGATCATTTTGTACGCCGCTTGATTAGAGTTTAATATCGCTTAATATTAGCTTGAGTTTGCATTTGACATTTCCATCCATCCGTCCAACCATTGTAGCCTATGAAAGTCAATAATTTTCATTCAATATGTGAGTAATACTTATTGACAATGATTTAAAATGCTTTTATCACTTATTAAGAATAAAACCTCTGTTCTGGGAAGAACCAGAATAACGGCGGGAATTAAAAAAAATATTTCCATGTTTTACATATACTTCTAAACACATTTAGAACTTCATGGTAGCGATCACGTATTCCCAGGGATTATTATCAATTACGAATTCTGTAATAGGTAGTATAATATCCATATTTATTCAGCTTTAGTTTGCTAACGATTTTCAACGTTTTAACATAAAAAATAAAGTCGATATTATATTAGATGTGAGATAGATAATAATTTATTTCCGATTTTCTGGATCATGAGATTATAACTCTCTTAACTTAATTTATACACCATAATTTGTTTTATTTATACATTCAAATTCATAGTATAATGTAAAAAGATATTTTGTAAAAAGGCACTGCTTATTTCATATTAAAATTTCTTCCAGCAAACTCAATACTGGACGAATTCAAAGAGCGGAAGATTTAGTGTGCACTCATAATAATAATTATAAATACATATGCATGAAATCATTGGGACGACATAGAAAAATAGTGCTATTTACTTCACCTTTTAAACACTGACACTGGCTCAAACATCTAATGAATTACCGCAGGATTAGAATTCTATAAACTAACTGCATGTACTATAAAATAATGGAAATAGGTCTTGGTTCTGAAAGAAGGGGCATTTAGGAGAATTTTTAAATGTGATTTGCAAATTGCATCAGGGGAATTAACAAAGCGGAAACGATTACGTAGATACGGCGATGATGTTGATTTGTATAATATATTAAAAAGGAGGCAAAGGATTATTGTTTAAGTAATTAAATATTTAAAAAAATAGTTGATTAGGCCTAATGTTTAAAGAAATATTGGCAAAAACCTAAAAATATAGCATATTAAGTAACTGAAGTAGAACATATATATGAAATAAGTAACAATAGGTTATTAAATATAATCTAAATGGTACTGTAGGTACAAGCCCTTAATTGTTTCTGTTAATTTAAATTTATTGGTATTTACGAGGGAAGGGGGGGGGGGACTACTCTTTAGGGAGTAGAAGACTTAGCTGTATAATAACAATAATTCACCTTAATCTCTTTGCTTCGTCAATGAATGGCCTCTTCTCCATTTCGGTGAGAAGCTTCCATTCCGCGCCAAGCCTCTTTGATATCTCCGAGTTGTGCATCTTTGGGTTGTCTTGAGCCATTTTTCTTCTCTGACCTCTGGACCACACCATGAAAGCATTCATTGGCCTCTTGATGTGTTCAGCCGGCTGTTTCCCAAGAGACATTTTTCACGGATTTTTTCTTATATTTTTAATTTTAATTTTTAGTGTAAACACTGCGTTTGTCCATGCATTATTTTTATATTTTGATTCAAAATAACATATAAACTATTTTTTGATGTAACATATAAGTAATATCAATTTACATAACGCTGCTGTATTAATAATAAAATAATAACTTTATAACGTTTTCTTTCAGTGCATTCAACAATAACAAAAGGTATCGTGATTGTAAACTGCGCGCCCGTGAAAAGCTCCCGAAAGCTCGATGCGCCGCTTTTCTCGCCTGTGTCACAGTTTGTGTCGGAGCCTCGGCTCTAAGTTCCCCCCTGTCCGATCCCCCCTTAAATTAAATTGGCCAATCGTCGGGCGCGGAGGGCGGACGCTGATACCCCATTGGTTTGAGTCGGGTCTGTCTCGCGGCTCCGCAACAGGTGCCCCGGTTTCTTGTTAGCATGTTTATTAGCGAGATTAAATTCCTTTTTTGTACCGCAACCTTCGCTTAGTAAAAAAGAACGCGCCCCCGCGTAATTGGATGGCAACAATTTGAAATGTATGAGGCGTCGAGAGTAGGTTTCGCGCGAATTCCAGTCATCCATATGTAGGTATGTATTTATGAGTAACGTGAAGTAGAGTCGAACACGTATTTCATTAACAATGAGTTCGAATTACAGCAGTTTAATTTTGAAAAATTCCGCCTTAAAAAGGCTGAAATTAAAGAAAAACAACTTTATGTAATGTTATTTTTGTTTATATATGTAATTCTTATTTTGTAGTATTTTTTAGATTTAGTAAAAATTATGCGTGTTCGTCATAAACAAAACAAAAATGAAAAAAGTTGTTTTGTGTCTGTTTGTTGTAGACTAATAAAAGACTAATTTGTAGAATGTTGCAGATTAATAAAAAAAGACTAATTCACACTTCTCGATCATGTGATAAGTAGTCAAAGATTTTCCCATATTTTCCTCTAAATTAAATTTTTTATAGAATAAGGGTGACAAACCAGCAATAAGCTGTTATTTCACGCTGGTATTTTGTGAGAGCGTAGTCCTTCCTCAGTGAAGTTGACTTATTCCTGCTATAACCATAATATTGCCGCAGCGTGACCTTTAAAAACTGACCTGTGACCTGAAAAATTACACATCATACGTTATGTAATTGACTAACTTCTTTTATCGATTGGTTGGATATTAATTAAATGAAAATATTTTGTATAAGCCTAGACATGTAATTAAGTTATAAACGGAGTAATAATAAGTTTTAGTACTTAGTATTTAATCGACTGGCAAGTGGGAACAACATCAGACGTGAGAGAGAGAGATACATCCGTTACTACGATCGAAATCTTTCTCTAAGCTAGGTTATATTATATCATGTCCACAGTGGGAGAAGAGGCAGTACCACTTCTATGGTCTAATGAAAAAGTGAAAAAAAAAATTAAAACAAACTTTTGGTAAATCCAAATGTGCATACATGCCTTAAGCGCTCATGTTATACGTCAATTTTTTAAAGTAGTTTAAATACATACAAGTTTTCACAAATATCCTGATTACTGTTACTTCTAATTTTTCGATAATTTTATGTCAAATGAAAACTCATAATGCTCATATGATCATGAAAACACGTAGAAAAAAAATCAATCAACAATAGAATATATATTTTTTAATTTTACTATATTAGGAGATATTATTGAGATTCAATTTTTTATTATTGTTAATTGAAAATTTTTTTAACAGAATTATCTTATAACGATCAGAAATCAACTTTAATATTACTTTATGTATAAATATATACTTTTATGCATTTGTACTCAGGCGTTATCGTAAAAAACTAGTCTATTTTTAAAAATATTTTCATGTAGTCATAACCAGTAGGTATTCTAATTTCGCATTCACCAAAGTACACCTTCAGGTCACTAAATAAAGTCCACGACGTATAAGTATAATTATATATTAATCCTACGTACTTTTAGCGAAACAATATATTGTAATGAATAAAATATTTGATTATAAAAATAATAATAATCCTTACCTTGGTCAAGTATGTATCAAATTTGGTTTTTGGAATATTTTGGTTTTCTATAACTATCGATATTTTTCATCACGAGCCGTAAACAAACGATACAGTAACCCACTTACGACAGCGGGTAAGCCCGGAGTGAGTCAGTGTATTTAGTAGAATATATTATTGCAAGGCTGCTTAAACATCGAAAATTTCGGAACTTCTCAGCCGAAATAATTAATTATATCTAAACAAAACAAAATTAAACAGCCATTTACATTCCTTGGCTTCCCACATGATAGATGAAGATATTAAAAAATAGATTGAGTTGAACAATTGATATTTACAAAAGGTTATCGAGTTTACCCCTCCATGCGGACTTTATAACCTAACCCTAAGCCACTAAACCACTTATTTAATGTAAAAATAGCAATTAAATTATTAAAAAAAAATAGTTCAACAATCATTTATCTTTCTGAAAATGTGATTTTTATATCATTTATACGTTCAATATGATTCTTACTTCCTCGTTGGTCTAGTGGTTGTAGTGGTGCGACTGCTGATCATGAGAATTCAATTCAATCAAGAGAAAATTAACTATTAAGTTTTTCCGTCAAGAAACTCTCAGTAGTTGCCCGGAGTCAGGAAGTTGGCGGTGTCTCACCCCCGTGCATCGGAAAGCACGTAAAGCCGTTGGTTCTGCGCCTGGTTTCTCTCCAGTCCAGTCTGTGTCGGTTTACCGTCCCAGTGGTATGAGAGTAAGGGAATAGAGAGTGCACCTGTGCTTGCGCATACACTCAGACACTATAATCCTGTCCTGCGCCGATGGCTAGTCTCCGTTGAGGCAGGCCACCGAGGCGGTTTGGAGGACATTATTATGATTCTTAGATACGACTTCATGCGATAAAACGTTGGATTCTTGATTTTTAGGCGCTAGTAGAAAATACCTATGCTCTTTGCCCTTAAGGCATAGAATATAGAACTAATGGTAACCAAATAATAAAATATAGTTCTTCACAGTTGGTCGTATGAAGAAGCTCAAAGTACCTCAATAAGCTAGAATTTCTTAGAGTGATAGAATACTTAACAAGAGAATATTGTTGGTACAATCTAGGTGTTTGACAGTGAGTTGGACTACGAGTAAGTATAATATAATTAATACAATTAGGTTTCCTCGTTACTTAAAACTAGAAAGATATATTCGACCCTATCATACGCGGTAGAGTCACGATGCAGCTATGTTATAGTTGTAGCACGAATGGGTCGCTCGAACCGAGGTCGAAGAACCAGGCTCTCACAGAATAGCAGCTTAATACTGCTGTGTTTCATGTGGTGAGTGTAGAGATCCGGAGACCCTTATTTATTGGAAACGAGGTATTCCATCTTAGTCCTCAGTGGTGACAACGCATCTGCGTTTCGATTCTTAATCGAGGATAAATGTAGATGTCTATAGACCACAGCATCCACTTACCTTTGATGGACTGTGTGCTCGTTTGTGACCCTTAGTCTACAAAAAAAAGTTTTTATTCTCTTTTTATCTAGTCAAGCCTTCCTCTAACTATCAAATAGCTGTTATAAAAAAACAAATAAAGTTGTATCACATGCAATCTTATGAACAATAAGACAATTATAAGGGGCAATTAGTTCACGAGTAATTTTTGTATACAAGTAAAAAAAATCCTTAGGAGTAAACAGTACATATTCACTGTATTACCGATAGACACCTACATCTATCATCCATTAAGATTTAAAATATAGATAAATACACAATTTATCCCAGAGGACTAATATTTCATGCCTCGTTACCAGCAAAAAGTGTCTGCGGTTCTCTAAACTCACCATATGAAACACAGCGGAATTAAATTGTTATTCAAGCTGGTATTTAGTGAGAAAGTGGCCCTTACCTGATCGAGCTGATCCATTCGTGCCGCAACCATAATCTAGTTGCAGCATGATTCAAACACATATGCTCTATCTGTATTTTGATAAATGTTCTTAATCGTGGATAGATGAAAGTGTCTATGGATAACAGCATTAACTTACTTTCAAGTAGACTTAAGCTATTTTGTCATCCATAGTCTAGAGTTGTGCTCTAAACTAAGGGAACTGAGGTATGTACAGAAGAAATACTTTGGTGGTAATAACAAATTTTCTTGATAGAGCCACACTGGAGGTCTATTGTGTCTAAAGTACGAATGAGTCGGCTTGACCGGAGAAGGGTCACACTTTCACAGATTCCTAGCGTAAATTAGCAGCATAATGCTGCACCGTATTCTTTATAGTAAGTATTGGGAACCGAAGACTTTTATTTATTGTATAACGGAGCCTGTCTAGCGATCTGGGATAACAACCCATCTACATTTTAATTCTTAGTCGATGTAGGTGTCTACGGAAATAGCATTCACTTATTATAGGACTAGCTTCTGCCCGCGACTTCGTACGCGAATCCTGGTGCTTATGCCAGCGACAACGGTGTCGTCAAAATCGAAGATCTGAAACGTCTGATGTTGTAAGAGCCCGGGGACGGGAAAACAACGTGATTCGCGAGACGATTCGAGACGTTCTAGATCTTTCATTTTTGTAAGTCAACAGAAAATGCCCATCAGACTAAACAACTTTTGCTAAGACGTCATTCCTATATATGTTATATTGTCGCTGGGCTTTGGATGGAGTGTAACTCCTTGTGTGTTATTAAGTTAATATATTGGTAACATTGTTCAGATCACGTTCACATGAGGCTTAAGTACTTATAGTACAAAAATACTTCAGCGCAAAGCTTCCGGGTAAAATATGTTGAAAGTTGACCCGTCCGGCACGGGAACATAAAGATTTCTAGAACTGCTAACCCGGGAAAGAGCGACGTACAACTGACCATGCGAGAAACAACTGACACCGAGATCTACTCCAGCAGCACGAAAAGTCTGCCCTTGAGCCTTATTAATTGTCATTGCATAACACACTGATACTGGGAATTGCGTTCTTTTAAATTGGAATGGAAAATTATT